TTTTTCCTGAGGAGCTGTTTTGTTTGGCGTTTGTAGTTCTAAAAATAAAGTTAGTTTCTTTTGACAAGTGGCTCCTGAATTGTGCCCAGCCAGACTGCAGCATGTATGCTTGCCATTTTTAAAAAGAATAGTAAATTAGTAATGGCAAAATAAATGAGCAAGTACCCAAGCATCCAGAGAGATGGACTATTTTCTCTGATTGCTCAGTCCAGACTCATCTTTTCATTCAAAGCCAGTTTACTGTGTGCCTAAACCAGGGAGGTTTTTTTGTGGGTACTGGGAACACAGCATTAAACAATGTAGGCCAGGGACCGTCTCTTTAAAACCCCTACTTTGCCCGTTTCTGACTGACCTAATATTCTTTAAGAATAAACTGTACATTTTAGGATTTCAAACTTTTATTAAAAAATAAAAGGACTATGCCTTGTAATTCTTTTCATTCTAGAATGTGACTTAATTATTCAATAAGGTCACGGTGTACTTCTTTCCTATCTCTAAGAGAAAAGCACACTTGCATTTTTTCCTCTCCAACCTCTTTTCTACATCTGGGTATTGGAACATGAAGCTCACAGATGGAGACCATCTGAATATCCTGCCAAGTTTAGCAGTCATAGAGAGCAAAAAAGTGGTTTCATAGTCACTGAGCATTAAAGTATACAGATGTGAGCACTATCCTTAGAGATCCTCAGGTTCTGGATGACTGCTTAACTGAAAGCTCTCCAGGAGACTCTAGTATCCAACCACATTAGAACCATTGCTGGCCACCCTGGGCACACATAGCAGGGAATCCACAACATCTAATTAGGTGCCCAGTAGGTCACTCTGCCAAAGAGGGCCCAGGGTCTAGGCTTAGATTCCTTTCCCTCTCCTACTTCATAGTATTTTACAAATAATTCTTTTCTCAGCAGGTCTGAGAAAGCAAACATCCAAGGATTATATTTTATATCACACTGAAATATGAACAGTAGATCAGAAGTGAGCTCTAAGATTTCTCAGGCTTATTAGCAACTTTCAAAACTGACTATTTTATATGAACATCCTACAAATGTTTATGTTCTTGATACCTTAGTTATAGAAATTACCTCTCATCTACTTCAAAGAGATTATATTAAATCCCACTAAATTTTATTAGCATCTTTAAAGTATCAGGGAAGCCTGATAAAATGTGATTAAGATGTTTTGCAGGTAATGAGAATTTCATAAGCATAATTATTATTTAACATAGAATTTTATAATATTCCATGGAGTCTAAAATATTTCTCATAATATTACTTTGGATTGAAAGATTTTAGGTATGCATCAATTCACATTATAGAAAATATTCTTTACCCTTGTTTAGAGACCACCATCTCTACCTTTAAAATAGTAAAAAACATGTAGGAAATACTCATAAAAACAGCAAAACCTTAAAAGTGAAGTTTTACTTTGAACTCAAAGATAAGTAAATCATTAAACAAAGTGTTAAAAAATATTTGTCATGAAAATGAATGGTTTGTGTGCTACTTATTATTTAATTATTTCTATATTATTTTATGCTGTCATTATATACAAGTGACATATTTTCTTACTAGTTTTATTTTTCAGTGGCTGATTGACAAGAAATGCAAGAAAATAATGACTTCAATTGTAAAGTGTCAAAAGTCAGAATTGCTTAGTCACACTAAAACATCATCTTCATTTAATTAAATTAGTTTTCTATACAAATATAGCTATTCAATGG